TGCAAAACAATTTTAAATTGGCAGTCATTTTTGAATAGGATCTTGGTGCTGCGTTTCAGGTTAAGTTATTTTCATATTCAATACTCTCATGGAATATAGATCTGGACTGATGAGCCCGCGAGAATTGTCTCAGTTTTCGTAAAAAGCTTTTGGGATGTTCACTTACATTCTTTAGTTATGTTCCGTTTATCTTAACAGGACCATATCTTCATAATCTTATCATGTGTGGCTGTATATGCCCGATTAATCCATTAGTTTTAAGAAGTATAATCCCTTTAGAACGAAAATAGGCTGCTAGTCGTGTCTGTCAGTTCGTTTTCTTAGAAGTATCACGGCACGCCTAAGGTATGCTTTATCCTGGATGAAATGACTAACGTGTAGGTAACGACACCCATACAACCTACAACTTTATTACGTCATGTAAACTGATGAAGCAAATGGTTACTGCATGGATGTCCAGGTGATGCATTCTTTGTGCATTTGGTTTTATCATACAGCATCATCGCAATATCATCAAATAACGGTTAATCTTAATAGGACTATGATTAGATTGCAGATTTATGATTAATCCGTCAGTTTATCATAGACATAAAAAAATAGGTGATAATCCCTTTGTGTAGAGTGAAAACAAGCTGCTAATAAGGCCTGTCAGTTCAAGTCTGTTTCTATAACTGATCACCCACATGTAACACGTAAAAAATATCAAGTTGTGCGTTGCTGATCATCATTGGTTTGTCTTGCATGACAGAGCTACAGTGTGAATGCCCAAGTCCTACATATTTACTACTTATATACATATACTTCATTGTATAGACCTGTGGCTGTAAAATTATCGATTAATCCATCAATTTCAAAATGACAGTCTGTCATGTTACGATAAGAGTTCAGATGTTGTACACAGTTAAGGATAGTTAACTAGTTAAGGTTCTTGTTAGGTCTCCGAGTTTCTCAATCCTGTAATTAGGATGGTAGAAGGCTTTTTACTGCAATGTCTACAAAGTGGTGGAGCCTTTAGCAGATGGTTTATACAGTGGAACCTCGATTTAACGAGCCTCTATATAACGAAGTCCTCAGTGTGGCGAACGGTTTTCCTCGCCCCAGTAACAGCAAAATATATGTAAAAGAACCTCGATACCATGAAACCTCGTTATAGCGAACATGTATTGGTAATCCCCCTTCGTTATATCAAGGTTCCTCGGTAACTGTGAAGAAAATTGTGTGGCAAAGAACAACTGACGGCGAAACTAGGGTGTGAAAATTTCTTATCTTATCTGGAGTGACCACAATCTTGACAACTGCAAGATGGAGATATGCGGAGCTTATCTTATCTGCAAGATTTTGAACACCCCACAAAAATGGACCGAGCATTGTCATTAGAAGATAACTGGAGGGCTTAATATTTTTCTAACAAAGGGAGCACCATCTTACCAACGAAAGGGCGTTGGGACGAAAGTTGAAAGACAGGATAAAAACCAGACCCGTGTTCTGTTTTATATCGCTAAATGCTGTTAATTGCTATTTTCATCTCACACACCGATAGCATATTCACCTCTTCGCTCTGTATGGTATACTATCTGTTAAGACCGCACGAACAAATCTACTCGAACATTAAAAACTGCAAATTTAAACACATAGCGGTGTGTCTACTTGTAAAGTTATTTTTTACTCTCCAGGAAAGCAGCAGTTACTCTTTCGCTTCTCAATGCAAAGTTTTATTAATCATATAGCACGCCCCACGAGATGACGATCTCAAAGTGGCCATCTCGCATATCATGATCTATCATGTTCTCATACGTTTTACGCCGATTTCTGTTGTTTCTTTTATTCTGCGTATGAAAGGCCTTTTTTCGTTGAGTTTGCTCCATAAGACTTTTAAGATTATCAACAAAGTCAACATCAAATTTCCCTTTCCAGTAAATATTTATTGTCGACCGCGAGGAGACGGTAAAAGGGACAAATCACCCGCTTTGATCAAAAGCGTCTGACGTCTCGATGTACGAGCAAATTCTGAGGACAATAACATTGAACAATATCAGTGGTAAGAAGAATTGTATATTTTCCAAGCTTGTGACTAGAAGAGGTTAAATCAAGATTTACAAAAGCAACTCCTATTGTAGTTATGTGTGGCCGAGTGCTCTCTAAACTTCAATCATTGTTCCGTTCATCTCTTTCATCAACAAACTCTTGTTCTAATAGGAGCCCCTTAAACGAACCCCTGTTTTTGTGGTTTTGTGTCCATCGTGGTTCTCGGAAACAAGAAAACGAAATTGCGTCCTCGTTCAAGTACGAAGCCCATAACTGCTATTTTTTCGTTTTGTCACGCAATCGTGGGAAAAAAAAATATTCAAACTAGACAGGATTGCATGCTAAGGAGCCATCACCTCGAGGCGTGACCTACAGCTTCGTCTGATTATCCTTGATTAGATTAATGTCCTGATAGCACTAATACAGACACGTCTTTGATTAACACGACAACCTTGAAAACATGTAATGCTTTAGCAGGAAATCCAGGAGGTTGTCAAAAAATTGAAAAGCTTATGTTCTTCGCTATTTGCTTTCTGTTGTTTTTATTGTAAACTCCAGTGGGGTAAAGCTTTCAACTCTTGCATTAGAGTTGTTTTGACAAATATTCGTTAAAAGCAGCGGAAAACGGCGGATGGGTATTTTATTTACGTACAACAGATTCAAAAACCGCGCAATGCTCGAGAAAAAACCTTCCGGAACAGTAGGGCGGAGATTCCTTAGAGAATTGCTATTCTCGTCCTGCATGGTTTTGTTCCAAATCATGTATGAGTTTCCAGTCCAAAGCATAGAATAGGGTCACGCCAGAATAAAAGCTGATCAGACAAGTACAAAGCGACCCGACACCTAGAAAATGGTTTGACATAAAATAACATAACTGGCTAAATTCCAGCTGTGACATGCAAGAATAAGTTTTTTTCAAGAACCCGTTTTCACTTAGAAACGAAGATAATGCCACGAGAATGATCCCCTTGGCAGGTCAGAGCTTTATAATGTATATCTAGGAAACGAGATAAACAGGGACGCCGTTAATCCCTTGGAATCCCGTGGGTGTGAGAGACTCAACAGCGTGGAGCTGGCAAACATTACATAAACAACTCAAAATATCGTGGCTAGACAAAACTCAAAATCAATGCCATTAAAGCGGCCTTACACAAGGAGCGCTTGTTTTGACGACAGAAATGTGCAAATATCCGCAAAGCTATAAATAAAGACAAAAGGTATTTGCGAATGAAGAAAAACTGTAATGTTACAACGCTACCTTCCAATAAAACAAAAGACAAAAAATCTGTCGTTGGCCTTAAATATGGAAAAAAATGCCACCTTAAAAACATGAAAGTAACGAATCTTGTGTATGCCCTGGTCAAGTTTAAGTACTTAACATCTGAAGATCCGGAAGAAAAGATCTATTTTTTTTTATGGGTTTGAGGTGTAGAAATATTCATTTCTAAACTGTTGAAAACAGCTCTTTCCTTCGCAGCTGGGTGGAAAAATTCCCCGTTGAGTCGGCCGTGATGGTGGACTCGATCGTTTTAAAAATGTCATCGGAAAAAAAAGGTCATTCAGTCCTTCCTCAAGATAAATGTTCATTTAAAACGGGCAAAGCAGTTGACATGATTGAAAAAAAAAAAACACATTGAAGTGGAAATGATGTAACCGATAGAAATTTTCAGACTACTACCTTAAATTTACACTAAACACCTGTATACGATAGTTCTTTATAAAGTGGTATAGTTGAAGGACTTCTTTAGCGTAGTAAATAGTTCACAGCGCCACATCTAGCCTATACAGGATATTTGGAATATAAGATATACAATATATGGAATATATGGACTAGCTATGCAATGTGGAAACCAGGCTTGATAAGTTTTCGAACCTGGTTTCCATATGATCGCGAGTTAGATGGTAACCGGAAATTTCTATTTGAGCGCATGGCCTACAAACATTCCCTTTGTAGAGTAAGAACAATGAGAGAAATAACATTAATAATGTAGATATAATTTGGTTCATGTATGAGAAGCAAGCGACCAACATGAAACAAGGCTAGATCAACAGCGACATCTGCAGATAACATTCAGTTGTGTGACACTCAGCGAGATCGGGACACAGACTGCGCGCGAGGTTTGCGGAACACACGTATAGCTACATATGCAACACACGTGTGCCCTGGCGGCTCGACAGGGAAAAGTAAAATCAACAAACCCCCCAAAGCATGGTCAGTTACATGAGCTCAGCAGCGAACTCCCTTGTGAGCTCGATCATCCTAAACTTCTTCAAAGTGGTGAAATAAGGGAGACAGCTCAACGTTACGATAAACATCATTATAAACGTCATGTGGCGATCTCCGGCGGTCACATTCAAGTCCAGATATTGAAAATATCTACTTCACTTCAATAACTATAAAGCTTAGCTCTCTAGCACTATCAACAACAAATAGAGTTTGCAGATAACAGCAACATCATTTTAACTTACAACAGTAGCTCTACCATCCAAAGAATGGCGAGAATTTTCTTAGCTGATAGCAATCGAGGCGAGGTGATACTTCTCGTGGCTTCGCACATGTTTTAGATGAACTGAAGATAAGTCCATTTTCCACGTAGGTAAGTTTACACGGGAGTAATTTATAGCCATAACCTGGGACAATTTCATTATTATCGATAGAGAGGCAACGCACACAAGTAAAACAAAGATAGAGACGCATTTAAATTCAAATAAACCAAAGACTTTTCATCGATGTCTGGTCTTGCGTTATGTCGGCCACGAGAGGTCAAAGGACCAAGGATTGAAGAATATGGCACGGGACGCAAACGGCGAGAAAGAACTAAGAGGTTTTATCTTTTGTAGTAATTTTAGGTATGCTGTAGAGACAT